GGCCTGGGATGTATATGTTGCATACCTAGAACAATAGACCAAAGCCTCCAAGGGAGCTAAGGGTAGAGGCGAACATGCCTCCAATAGAATACACATGTCAACAATCAGCGCACAGGCAGGGAGATACACTATATACCTGCAATGTTTTCCAAATCTCTTCACATCCAGGGTAAATAAATAGCTTACGATGTGAGCCAACTAATAGTCTAGACATGCACATCCACTGACACAGTTAAACATGCTTACATCTAGATAGACAGCTTGTGTTACGCTTAAAGGGACACTATAGTCACCTGAACAACTTTAGCTTAATGAAGCAGTTTTGATGTATAGAACCTGCAGCCTCACTGCTCAATCCTCTGCCATTTAGGAGTTAAATCCCTTTGTTTATGAACCCTAGTCACACCTCCCTGCATGTGACTTGCACAGCCTTCCATAAACACTTCCTGTAAAGAGAGCCCTATTTAGGTTTTCTTTATTGCAAGTTCTGTTTAATTAAGATTTTCTTATCCCCTGCTAAGTTAATAGCTTGGTAGACCCTGCAAGAGCCTCCTGTATGTGATTAACGTTCAATTTAGAGATTGAGATACAATTATTTAAGGTAAATTACATCTGTAAAGTGAAACCAGTTTTTTTTTTTCATGCATGCTCTGTCAATCATAGCCAGGGGAGGTGTGGCTAGGGCTCTATAAACAGAAACAAAGTGATTTAACTCCTAAATGGCAGTAAAAATGCAGGGGAATGAGCTATACACTAAAACTGCTTTATTTAGCTAAAGTAATTTAGGTGACTATAGTGTTCCTTTAACCTCATATGCTACAAGAAAGAATACCTTTAAATGTATGAACAAGCAACATGTATCTGAAATGCCAACATGGCGCTTGGCAGCCTTGTCGGTACGTGTGATTATCTATGCTTATGCCTTTCCTAACATCTCAATGTATGTTTATGCATTTACCGAAGTTGATGATTTCACCCGAACTAACACTCCTAGCTTCCTATTATATCTTCTAATGGCCTGAATGTTAATATTTGCCTACAGACATATGAGATGTTCTATTGCACAAACGCTTTTTGATATTGCTCTTCTGTACCTGTGCTCCTCAATTTATATGTGACACATAAACGAAAAGTAAAGATTGTCAAAATTAAATATATAATGTCAAAAAAAGAAAAACTTTGAAAAACCTAATCCAGTTTTCAGGTCCCTAGTTCCTTGCGGAGTCAGGGTATGCCATATTCCCTGCTCACCTCTCCAGACCTTGCCAGAGAGAAGGTTTGGACTTACACTGCTGTGGTGACTTGTGCCTCTGCCCATGCTTCACTTATGGCTTTTCTCCAAATAGGAAAGTAAACCAAATATTCAGGGTTGGCCAACAAAAGGCCTACCTCTTACAGCAAAACACTTCTCTTCAAAAGGTTCCAGAACTCTATCATTCTTCTTTGTGTCAATAAAGCTTTTTGACATTCAATTGCATAAAATATATCATTACACATGCTGTATTGTGGTATGAATAAAAATAAAGATCAATTTCTGACCCCAGAAAAGGTTTGCCAACATCTTGACAGCTTGAAATTCCCTATTTGCCCCAATAGGCTGCATTATGTGAAGGAGCCCTGTATGAAAACCAGGGATGTGGAACAGCATCCATGACCATCATGCGTTTCATGAGGAAATTGACATGGCTAGCTGTTAGACATATTTTTTTATTGATATGTGCACATGTCCCTGGAATTCTGAATGTCGCAGCTGACCGTTTGTCTCGATTTTGATTTAAGGAGTTGGCAGCATTGCGAACGGCAGCCCAGGTTGCTACCCCGGCACCACAGTGGCAGGAACTGGTCATGGACTAGATAATCTACTAGCTCACGGGCTCTACCTCTCACAATTCAGTCTTTCCACTAATACAAAGAAATCTTATCATAGAACTTTTCACATTTTCAACAGATATTTGCTTGAGTTCTACATTATAGACAAGTTCTCTATGGAAACTTTGGTTGCTTTAATTTCCTTTTGTTACCTTCACCTTAAGCTGTCCTTAAACACTATTAAATCATACCTTACCGGCAGTCAACACCATATCCTCACCACATGGCCTAATAAACAACGCTTCCTGTCATCCTACCAGGTTAAAGCCATATTGAAAGGTATCAAAGACTGCACACCGATACCTACACCTTCTAGACTACCCATCCATGATCATCTGTTCCAGTCACTTTCAGACCTCCTATATGCCTCACCTTTTGAATCACAGACAAATCACGTAATTAAAACTGCCATATATCTAGCATTCTCCGCCCTAGAGAATTCACCACCACTAACACTAACTCCGCTAACTAAATCACAAGAGCACATCTGGTAAAATCACACGACCACTACCTACTTTCATTAAACAATACGAAAACTGGAGGAAGGAGTCAGACAGTTACAATCACGTATTACCACACAAGCAATCAATGGTGCCCTGTTAAAGTGTTGGATCATTACCTTTCCTCCATCCAACGTTCACCAAATCAACCACTTCTGGCTTTGCACGGAAATACACTCACCACTAGTAGGTTTATGCTTTATGTTCGAATTTTGTTGGTACGGTTAGTTGTTAACCCGGCAAATTACTTGGGTCATTCATTCCGTATAGAAGCCGCTACTATAGCACCCAAGAGAAATATTCCTGTACACATTATCAAAACGTTAGGTCGGTGAAAGTCTACTGCCTACATTAGATACATACCTCAACCTGTACAAGAGGTATGTCTAGCTTTCCGGAATATGATTATGTGATGTATTTATGTTGTATTTGTAAGCTGAATAAAACTTTGTAATGATATCTCTCTTTTATTTCAGGCTTACTGCATCGTCGGTTCCGACACACCACAACCGACTTTGCCCCTTCCCTGTATGTTTTATATCTCTAACTGTACGGCTTTTGATGCTCTGAACACAGATATATATTTATATATAGAACTACTATCGAAGTGCTGAACTACATTGTGCATAAACTCCGCTTTAGAAAAAATTTATGGAGTATGCTCAGCTACCATTAAAATTATTGGGAAGGTTTAGACTGTGACAGTTGCTTCCTAGTCTTGACCACTGGAGCCATTTTATATAGACCAACAAATTATCAGTAGTTAAAGCCCACTAATATTTATTCTCTTTTGCATCCAAGATCCTTGAAAAAATTGTGTATGCGAGATTGACAGACTTCCTCGAGTCCAACTCTCTGTTAGACCCGCTTCAGTCTGGTTTCCGCGCTAAGCACTCTGTGGAAACGGCACTGACCAAAGTATCCAATGATCTACTCGCTGCAAAATCTCATGGTCACTACTCTATCCTAATTCTCCTTGACCTGTCTGCAGCTTTTGACACTGTTGATCATCAACAGCTTCTTCTCATCCTCCGCAATATCGGTCTACAAGATATTGCTCTCTCCTGGTGCTCCTCCTACCTCTCCCAGCGCTCTTTCAGTGTTTCTTTCTCTGGCTCTGCTTCTTCTCCCCAACTCCTCTCTGTTGGTGTCCCCCAAGGTTCAGTCCTTGGTCCCCTACTGTTCTCCATCTATACTGCCTCCCTTGGTAAACTCATTAGCTCCTTTGGCTTCCAATATCATTTCTATGCAGATGACACGCAAATCTTCCTGTCCTCTCCTGATCTCTCCCCGTCCCTCTTGACTAGTGTCTCTGACTGCCTCTCTGTGGTTTCTAACTGGATGGCTGCCCACTTCCTTAAACTAAACTTGACCAAAACTGAAATTCTGGTCTTTCCTCCCTCAAATGCTGTTACTCCTGTGTCTGTCTCCCTCCAAGTCAACGCTGCTACCATCAGCTCCACCGCGCAGGCTCACTGCCTAGGTGTTCTCTTTGACTCCGACCTCTCCTTCAAGCCTCATGTTCAATCTATCGCCAAATCCTGTCATTTCCATCTCAAAAACATTGCGCGCATCCGCCCCTACTTAACGCCAGATGCGACTAAGGTGTTGGTCCATTCCACTGTCCTTTCTCGCCTTGACTACTGTAATCCGCTTCTCAGTGGTCTTGCGTGCTCCCAACTTGCGCCATTACAGTCCATAATGAATGCGGCGGCGAGGCTCATCTTCTTGTCCGCCTGCACCTCCCATGCCTCACCCTTCTGTCAGCCCCTACATTGGCTTCCTATAAAATATAGAGCTCAATTTAAAATTCTGGTTCTTGCTTTCAAATCTCTACATAATGCTGCTCCCACCTATCTATCCTCCCTTATACACAAGTATGTCCCGTCTAGGCCCTTATGATCTGCTGAAGACTTACGTCTATCTTCTGTCTGTACTCCCACCTCTGATGCTCGCCTTCAAGATTTCTCGAGGGCTGCACCATTCCTGTGGAACTCGCTTCCCTCCTCCGTTAGATGCTCACCCAGTCTCCACTCCTTCAAAAAATCGTTAAAAACCCACTTCTTCATAAAAGCGTATCAATTAAACTATTAATAGCTCCTGACTGATTCCTCTTCTGCAACTGTCACTAGTCTAATACTATCCTTACCTTTTTGTGTCATTTTACCCCACTCCCTCTAGCATGTAAGCTTATTGAGCAGGGTCCTCAACCGTTCTTTTCCTGTGTGTCCAACTTGTCTGGTTACAACTACATGTCCTTTCGTCCAACCATTGTAAAGCGTTGCGGAATTTGACGGCGCTCTATAAATATCATAATAATAATAATAAAGGGATAAGATGAAAAATATGGAGCATAAAAGTTTAATTCTTTCTTTTTGATAAGTTTTTCAAATGACCACAGTCGATTTGAAAACCTTTTCAAATGGCTTATTGTGGCTTACAAAACTTCTCATAAACTTTAATAGTAACTTCTAGAGATAAAGAATCATTTGAAAAGCTTTTTCTAAAATAATTAAAGATACACTCCAAATCACTGAAGTGGTCATAGTGATTTAGGAAGCATGAGAGGGAGGTGCAATGTGCCATATTCCATTCTTCCCAGGTGTCCCTATTTAGGGAGCACAGTCCCTATGACTGATATCTCTGTAATTTTATGTTTATTTATAAAATGCTTAAACCTCAAATATGAAAAATGTTCTTATATGGAAGGGAGAATGATTGCCCAAGTTTTTCAAATGATATAATCTGGTTCTGGTGCATTAACTGATTAATTCTGTTAATACTATTATCCATCCATATTTTTACATATAGGTTTTCTATATTAGCTGATATAATATTCAATGGGAGATAGTTAATAATTTTATCTAAGATCTTAAATTTATTTTTCCATTTTGTACAAATAGAAAGTATGTGATATAAAACTATTCCCATATTTATGTTGTGGCTCTTTTGTGTTCTCCAAAATAAAGCTAGTAGGTCTGGGAGGTAAGTATTTTGATCACCCAAATGTTTCTTTCCAACACATCTCCTTAATTCCCAACAGCCATAAAGAGGAACTGTCTTATTCACGATTAATTCAGCAGTCCTGTTCAGTAGAACAGAATTGCAAACAAGATTGTTATGCAGAGTCTGGTGCAATGAATTGCCCGAGATAGTCCTCCTACATCGTCAAAACCACGGTAGAGTTGGGCTACAAAATTAAAAAAGGAATGGAACATTTTAGTTATGTAGAACGGTTAACAAATTTAAATCTGTTTAGTTTAGAAAATCAGCATTAAACAAATATATTTGGAGCCAATACAAACTATTGTTTTTAAATCTGTTCATAAACAGGGCTATAAATAGGACACGAGGTCATGCATTTAGACTGGAAGAAATTAGATTTAATCTAAGGCAAAGGAAAGTTTTTTTTCTCAAGAAGAACAATAAGTATGTGAAATTCTTTGCATGAAGAGGTGGTTTTATCAGAGTGTATAGATGTTTAAAGGGACACTATAGTCACCAGAACAACTACAGCTTCTTGAATTTGTTCTGGTGAGTAGAATCATTACCTTCAGGCGTTTTGCTGTAAACACTGTCTTTTCAGAGAAAATGCAGTGTTTACATTACAGCCTAGTGATTACTTCACTGTCCACTCCTTAGATGGATGTTAGAGATCCCTCCTGGGTCATGACTGCCTAAAATGTATCCAAACATTCAGTGTCTCCTCCCTCTGCATGCAGACACTGAACTTTCCTCATAGAGATTTATTGATTTAATTCATCTCTATGAGGAGATGCTGATTGGCCAGGGCTGTGTTTGAATCATGCTGGCTCTGCCCCTGATCTGCCTCTTTGTCAGTCTCAGTCAATCCTATGGGGAAGCATTGTGATTG